GGGGAGCGTCTGGATCTTGAAGCAGGGAAATGGATTACAGTTGAAGAAGAAATTAAATGGCAAATTTAAAAATATAAGGCAAAGTAAAAAATAAAAATAATGGGGGGTTTTGTGTGTGTGTGTTTTTTTAATATAAAGATGGCCCTTTTTTAAAAAAAAAATTGATTCCAGAGAGGAAGGGAGAGAGATAGAAATATCAATGATGAGAGAGAAACATTGATTGACTGCCTTCTGCATGCCCTCCACTGGAGAGCAAGCCCGAAACGCAGGTATGTGCCCTCGTGACCTCCTGGTTCATAGGTTGACACTGAGCCACGCCAATCGTGTTTTAAAATAATTTCTTCACCTGCCTTTCTGGCTCAGTATATATATATATATATATATATTTTTTAAATGGGCAAAACTAATCTCCAGTGATAGAAGTCAGCTAGTGGTTTCCTATGGGTGGGGTATGGGTGTGGGAGGGAGTCACAGGGAGCTTGAGCTGCTGGAAATGTCATATGTCTTGATCAGGGAGGTAATTACATAGACTTACGTACATGTAAAAAGTCATTAAGCTGAACATGTTGGGTGAGTGTACTTGTATGTTAAGCTTCAATAAAATTATGCAACTATTAGAAGAAAATATAGGGGTAAATGTTCATATATTTGATAAGGATTTGGTACTCAGAATATATTTTAAAATTCATAAAATTCAACAACAGAAGCAAACAATCCAATTAAAAATTGGCAAAACACCCTGGCCAGTTTGGCTCAGTGGATAGAGTGTTGCCCACAGACTGAAGGGTCGACGGTTCAATTCCAGTCAAGGGCATGTACCTGGGTTACTAGCTCCATCCCCAGCTCCCGTTGGGGAGCATGAGAGGCAACCAGTCAATGTGTCTCACATCCATGTTTCTCTCTTTCTCACCCTCCTCCTCCCTCCCTCCCTTCCACAATGGAAAAAAATATCCTCAGGTGAAGATTAACAACAACGAAAATGGGCAAATGACTCAAATAGACATTTATCATACCCAGCAAGCACCTGAAAAGATGTTCACTGATCATTAAGGAACATGACTGGTTTAAGGAAAAGCAAATCAAACACAATGAGATACCACTTCACACCTTTAGGAAGTCTTTCATTTTTAAAATGGAAAATAATGTGTTAGCATTCCTACCTGATGCACGCTGGTAGGAATGTAAAATGGTGCAATCACTCTGTAAAACAGCCTGCCAGTTCCTCACAAGGTTAAACAGAGAGTTCCCATATGACCCAAGATAAATGGAAATATAAGTCCTCACAAAAACTTGCATGCAGAGCATTATGCCGAAATATCCCAATGCCCATCAACTTATGAATAAATAAACAAACTGGTTATCCATACAATAGAATATTATTGAGCCATAAAAAGGATGCTGATACCAGCTACAATATGGATGAACCTGGAAAACACCACACTAAGTGAAAGAAACCAAATGCAAAAGGTCACATCTTGTAGGATTCCGTTTATATGAAATGTCCAGAATAGGCAAAGCCATAGAGACAGAGCAGATAGTAGTTACACAGGCGATGGGGAGGAGGGGGGATTGGGAGTGATTAGTTAATGGGTATGGGGTGTTTTTCTGGGATGATAAATAAAAGTTTTGATACTCCAATTTTTTGGGGGGGAGGCAACCTATTTTTGGAGGCCCTGCTTTGGCAAGCTGAAAAAAAAAAGTTTTGAGACTAAATAGAAGTGGTGGTTGCACAACATTATGAATGCACAAAAATCCACTGAAGCATACACTTCAAAATGGTTAATTGCATGTTATGTGGCTTTCACCTCAAATTTAAAAATAAATAAACTTCCATTTTAAAAGTGAATGGAAACTGAAAAACTAACATCACCTCCAAGGCCCCGGGGGCCCTGACAGAACCAGCTGGATGCAGAGCACCCCCTCCCGTGCCTCCTTCCTCCTCTCTGCAGCTCCAGGACATGGGGACTCAGGGAAAGTGGCTGAGCCCAGCTCACAGGGTTGCCAGGAGACAGGACCAGGTCTCTCAGACCTCCTGGCACCCAGGCTCCCCCATAGACCTGCCCATAGCCCCTGGGATTCTCCCCTGGCCTCCCTGGGTGGGAGCTGTGAGGTCAGGGGCCAGGAACGTTGCTGCAGCCACAGGCGGGAGTTAGTGACTGAGGAGCTTGGAATGTGCTGCCTCTGAAAGGACCTCCTTGTGGCTCCACCGACGGTTAGAGCAGGAAGGGACTTTCAGAGCCGTGTAATCACACACACACACACACACACACACACACACACACACACACACACACACACGAGACCTGAGCCCTGCTCAGTCACTGGCCCAGGCTGCTTGGGGAGTGGGCAGGGCGGTGTTTCTAGAGCAGGCAGATGGATGTAGGCAAGGCTGACCTGATTCAGGCCTTGCATGTGCCACTACTTGGCTCCTTGTTTCACCCTGACCTGTCCAGTTTGGACTCAGCCAAGAAGTCCAGACATGAGTTAGCGTGTGCTTGCGTGTGTATGCTGTGTGAGATCAGAGCCCCAGGGGCTCCCAACCCTGGGGTTTTTCATCAACATGTGTATTTATTTTTGCTATTTGTCAAGTTCTTACTGTATGCTGTGCTAAGCACGTGGCATTATGTTATTTCTATTCTCCAGCCACCCTGAGATGTAATTATGATTATGTCTCCAATTTACAGATGAGCGACAGAGGTGTTGAGAGATTGTGCCTCATCAAGGTCAGAGCTGGTGAGTAGCAGAATTCAAACTCAGAACCCGGAGTTGTCTGATTCCAGCATGTGTGCTCTTTTCCATGGGTCACACTGCCTCAAAAAAATCTCTCTCTCTCTCTCTCTCTCTCTCTCTCTCTCTCTCTCTCACACACACACACACACACACACACACACCTACCTATATCATTCATTGTAAACTGCTGTTGGTATCTTTTCTTTTTACAGAAAGATACGCATTGAGTAGAACAAGGGCAAGGGAGCGGCACCAGGCTGGTAACCACCTTTCGCGTAGCAGCAATTTACAGCTTACAGAGCACTTTCGCATTTGTGATCTCATTTGATCCCACAGCAGCCCCATGAGGTCAGCAGGAGGCTCAGTTCTTTCCACAGGGACCGGGACTCAGAGGGAAGGTCATAGAGACAGAAAATGGTAGGTGTAGGACAGGAAGCCCCGGGCCAAGCTGGCCTTCTGGTTCTAAGTCCTGTGTGTACCCACAGACCCCGCCCAGCCCTCTGTCCCCAAGGCAGACCACCTAGGACCCCACACCCCTGAAATCTTCCACCCCTGAGGACAGAGCTGGAGCTGATCACGTGGAGGAGGCCCCCGTGGAAAGCGGGAGCCCGGCTCTCTTTCTGTAGCTGTGACACTGGCAGCTCCTTACTCTTCTCTGGATGTTTCCTGAGTAGAATGGGAGGAAGCAGAGAAGCTTTGGGGTGGTCCTCGCAGCCCTGACATTCTGCATGTGTGAGAAAATGCCTGTGAGAGCTTTGAAAAATCTTGCCTGAGCTGGGCTTGGAGCTCCCACCGCTCTGATATGTCAGCCTGCTTCAGCCACTCGCTCACTGATCTTAGGTGCTTCATTTTAACAGCTCCCAGGCTCAGTTTCCCTGTCTGTAAAATGGGGATGATGGTGTCCACCTCCCAGGGTTGTTGACCTTTGGTTGTTGACATTTAACCCTGGCCTCAGTGACACAGACCGTTTTTATGTGTGGGTTTTTTTGTTGTTGTTGTTTAATGATAGACACATACTTCTCTCTTTTTTTAAATTTTAGCTCTTTTTGTTATTGCTTTCAGAGAGGGGGAGAGGAAGAGAGGGATAGAAACATCGATGAGAGAGAATCATTGATTGGCTGCCTCCTGCATGCCCCACACTGGGGATCCACTGGGGATGGAGCCCACAACCCGGGCATGTGCCCTGATGGGGAATCAAACTGTGACCTCCTGGTTCATAGGTCAACGTTCAACCACTGAGCCACGCCGGCTGAGCTCTCTCTTTTTTTAAATTGATTTTAGAAGAGAAGGGAAAGAGAGAGAGAGAAACATCAATTGGTTACTTTCCGTATCTGCCCCCAATTGGGGATCAAACTCAAAACCTGGGTATGTCCCCTGACTGGGAATCGAAACTGCCACCTTTTGGTGAATGGGACAAAACTCCAATCAACCGAGCCACACCAGCCGCCGGGCAGTCACAGAGACCTTTGACACAATCTCCAAACAAGGCTGTTGACCACGCAGCCCCGGGAAGAGCACAGACAGTATTTAAAGAAGATGGTGTTTTCAGGCCAGGGGACCCCTGAGTCCCATGGCAGGTTCCCACTGCTTATAGGGGATCTGAATTAAAACTTGTTATAGCTCCTGAGATTTCCTGTGAGTAGCATGATTATTTTGCATTGGATTTGTGGGTAGTTCAAAATATTGACTTGTTCAATGTAAGCATTTAAAATAACCACCATTTTTGTAACTATGGTTCGTCATTCATTTAGTCACTTTTTATTATACTTGAACCTTAAAACAATGAGCGGAAAGGCTCCATGCCAGACGTGAAACCTTGGTCGGTGGTAGTACGGTTCCTGGCATGAAATAAGCACCCAGTTTAATAATAATAAGTAATAATGATAATGATAATGAGCGACATTTATAATCTACTTGATAGTTTCCAACCCCTTTCACATTCTTTATTCCAGCTCCCACGCGCAGTAGGGTAGCTATGTGAGCATTTCGTCCCATTTCACACATATAGAAACCGAAGCCCGACCTGGCGGTGAGTCCGCCGGGGCGCAGGCCGGGAATGGGGCGCGGCCTCGGCGGGCGGGCGGGGCCGCAGGTGCTTTAATCACGCGGAAGGGAATCCTCGGCTGCACCTGGGCGGGCGCCGCGAGGAAATTGCTCCATGTTTGGGCTGCTACGTCAGAGGGGGCGGGCCCGCCGCTCCGGCTGGGGGACGCCAAGTCCTCGCCTTCCCCCGCGAGCCCCTCGAAAAGGCGGCATCGGGGCCGTAGCAGGCAGTCGGGGCGGACGGGCCAGAGGTGGCGCGTCGGGAGAGGCGGAGCCGAGGTGACCCGCGCCGCCGCGCAACGCCCCACCCCCTAGTTGAAGTGGTTCAGCCCGAGAACTTTTCATTCATAAAAAGAAAAGACTCCGCGAGGAGCGGGTGACTCAGAACCCGAGCTGCCGACGCTGACCCACCGAGCAGCCAGCCCAGGGCATGTTCCGAGACTTCGGGGAGCCCGGCCCGAGCTCCGGGCCCGGCGGTGCGTACGGCGGCCCGGCGCAGCCCCCCGCGACCGGCCAGCAGGTGAGCGGGAGCCGACGCCGGGGTCGCGGGAGGACAGCGCCCGGGTCGCTGCGGTCCGCTCGGCACGCGCCCCCCGGGACTGGGGCGGGAGCGGGAGCGGGAGCGGGGAGCGCACTTGGGGGCCGTGGCGGGTGCTGCCCACTCCCCGCCGTCCAGGGGCAGGTTTCCCCACAACCCAGCGGCAGAACAGAATTCTGACAACCTCTCCCTCCCTCTCCCTCTTTCTCTCCCATCCCCTTTCCCCTCGCTGCCTGCTGTCTGTCTGTCCCTCGTCTTTCTTTCCTCCTGTCCTTACCTTTTTTATTCCCGCCTGTCCGCCGCTCATGGCTTTGTCCCATCTGAGCTCGAAGGGGGGCGGGCACCTGCGTTGTCCCAGCCCAGACGGGTCTGATTCATCCGGGACTACGTTCCCGGGGTGGGCTCCCGAGTCCCGACAGCGACCCAGACGTCCCCACACCGGAGGGAGGAGGGGCCCATCAGCATTTCCCCACCGACCGGGAATCCTCGGCCCCGTCTGTGAGCGGCTGCGTGTCGGTCCGTTTGTCTGTCCCGCTCTAACCCGTCTCCAGGTCCCTCTCCCTTCTCGTCCCTCTCCCTTCTCGGCTCCCGGAGACCGGTTGGTGACCCCTTCCTTCACAGGCTGGGCCAGTCCGGACCGGGAGGTGCCAGACCGTGCGCGGGGTCGTGCAGCGGGCAACTCCCGCACCCGCGACGATCGGCACCGAACGGCGCCCGCTGGCGGCTGGGGGGACCCGCGAGGCTGCAGGTGCCTATTTCCTGTCGAGGGGCTGCGAGCACGTGTCGCCAGGGGAGGGAAGGAGCGGCGTCCGTTCCGCCGAGTCACGGCGGCCGAGTCACCGTGGCTGACTCACCCGGGGCGCCCCTCCCTTCCTGGCCCAGAGCGTCCGGGGCCCCGACAACCTCGAGAGAGAGCGGGAGATGCGCCAGCGCTCCCTGGATCCCGGAACTGGGGTCACTGGGCCCCCAGAGCGGGGCCAGGGACACCACTGTATGGACTTGCCTGGGCTTGAGCCGGCTCTTCCCGGAGGACTGGGCGCCCACACCCAGAGCCCAGCCCCAGAGCTTGAACCCAGTTTTCCCAACACTGAACCCCATCCAACCCATTCCTCCCATTTCTGGCTGTAAGAGAATAGTGGCAGGTCATTCCTGGAGCTCATGCAGTACAGCCAGGCATCGTGCTGGGCAGTTTTCACCTCATTTACCCAATTTCACAGAATCTAAGACCCCAATGATTTTAAAACTCAGCCACCAATTTTTTTTTATTTTTTAAATCTTTACTGTTGAAAGTATTACATATTCCCCCCTTGTCCCCCACCCCGCCCCACTGACCTCTTTTAACCCGCCTCCACCTCCCAATTATTATTATTTTTTAAATTCTCACCTGAGGATATTTTTCCATTGATTTCTAAGAGAGTAGAAGGGAAGGAGTAGGGAGAGAGAGAGAAACATCAATGTGAGAGAGACACATTGATTGGTTGGCTCCCACACAGGGGTGCCCCTACGGGGTCTCCGGAACCCGCAACCCAGGTACATGCCTTTGTCCGGAATCAACGGAGACCCTTCGGTCTGCAGGCGGATGCTCTAACCATTAAGGAAACCATCCAGGGCACCACTTTTTTTAAAGTCACCAATTAAACTGAACTCAGAGCTACTAAAGGGTACTGGACAGCCTGGGCGCTCTCCCTCCTGGGAGCGTGCTTCCCCCTCCCTCTCCCAAACCTCCCCAGGCGCATTACCATCAGCTTCCTCGCTCCCAAGCTCCAAGGCCCTTCCTTTACCTAAAAATTATAATAATAATAATAATAATAATAATAACTGCACAGCCTGGACCGAGAGCAGACCTCTGGCCTATCCACAGCCTTCACCGGGCTCTGTCACACACATTCTCTCACCTGATTCTCACAGCTACCCTCAGAGTGAGGAGCTATAATTATCCTCTTTGAAGAGTCTAGCTGCCAGGGCCCAAATCCTACCTCCCACTTACTGGCTGTGTGTCTGAGGACAACTGTTTTCCTGTCTGAAAAAGAAGATACTGTTGTGCAAATTATATGAGTCAGTATTTGTAAAGTGGTTGGGACAGGGCCTGGAATTCACACTTTATAAGTATTAGCTCTGATGGGGAAATGGAAGTTCAGAGAGGTTATGTGACTTGCCAAAAGTCACACAGCTCAGGAGCCGTCTCTTTAACTGAGGGTGGATAGCAGTGTGGCTTTTATCCGCGGGAAGCCCCCAATTCACACAGACCTGACCCCTGGCCTTCCATTTCTTGTCCCTCAGAAGTTCCACCTGGTGCCAAGCATCAATGCTGTGAGTGGCAGCCAGGAGCTGCAGTGGATGGTTCAGCCTCACTTCCTGGGACCCAGCAGCTACCCCAGACCTCTGGCCTATCCTCAGTACAGCTACCCACAGCCCCGGCCCGGAGTCATCCGGGCCCTGGGGCCACCTCCAGGGGTGCGTCGCCGGCCCTCTGAACAGGTAAGCAGAGGCTTTGCACTGGTCTGATTCCCACAGGAGGATAGCTCTTGCCCAGAAGGAGAACACAGGCTTAGAAGGGGGGAGAAGGTAGCACCACTAGTGACTATTGGCCAAGGTGGACTTATAGTCAATAGTAACTATTGAGAGGAGACTCTAGGAAGACCCAGGAGGCAAAGAGGTCACCTTTGGATCAGGGAATGCTTCCTGGAGGTGGAGGCATATTAGTCTAGAAAAATGGGTAGGATTTGCATAGATATAGTTGAAGGAAAGGACATTCCAGGTAGAGGGGATAGCAGGAGCAAGAATGGAGGTAGAGGGAGAACTTGTAAGGTACATGTGGAAAGGTACATGGAAAGTAAAGGGTATCCACCTGCTGACATGTGTGGAGAGGGTGGGCTTATGCTGTCTATGTCTATATAGCTGGGGAGAGAACAGGAGACAGTTCCCTTTAGCTACTCTCTGAATTTCAGTTTCCCTATCTCATTTAAAACCTCCCTAAAACCCTCTGGCGAATGTACTCTGGTTTTCCCCATATTAGAGCCCAGGAAATGAAGGCACAGAAAGATAAAGTCACTTGCCCAAGATCACACAAGTAGTGAGTAATGAGACAGGTCTGTCCAATTCTAAAGTGAGATCCTAACCACCAAGCCACACTGTCTCACCCAGATCTAAGAGAAGGTTTGAAGAAGAGTGAGCTGGGAATTTTTGCTTCCCCAATTTTTCCTACCCACACACTAATAAAGTCCTTACCAAAATAGAGAGAAAAAAATAATAAAGAGATAGAGTCTTTAAGGGAGTGGTGCCACTTTCCTTTCCCTGGAGCATTTTAGTATAAGAGACTGTAGTGGGTGAGGTTTGCACATTAAACAGACTGCTCTGCCGGGCAGGGTAGAGGATGGGGAGGGAGCTTGGGATCCTCGGAAAGATGTGCTATTGGGAGGCTTTCCCAGAAACAGAATGGCTGGCCCCCCAGAGGCAGGCTTCTGGACTTTCTTCCTTCGGCCCTGTCCTGAGGGGGATTTGATCCTGGGTACTCTTAGACTGGGGCTGTGAGCTATAAGTGGGTTCCTTTTGGGGGGAGATGCTTTTCATCAGCTGGCCTCTCATGCTCTAGGGGCATAAACAAGTTATTCATCTTCCCTGGGCTTCAGTTCCTTACATGGAAAGTTGTGTTAAGAATCTAAGAAAAGCACTTTGCTGGCACACAGCAGATTCCCAATAAATAATTGCTTAGCAAGCCCGAACTGGTGTCACTCAGTGGATAGAGCGTCGGCCTGCGGACTGAAGGGTCCTGGGTTTGATTCTGGTCAAGGGCACATGCTCGATTTCGGGCTCGATCCTCAGTGGGGGGAGGCAGCCAATCAATGATTCTCAATCATCATTGATGTTTCTCTCTCTCTCCCTCCCCCTTCCTCTCTGAAATCAATAAAAATATATTTTAAAAAATTAACTGCTTAGCAGCATTCATTGGCCCCTCCTAGTGCTTACAGCCTATGGAGAAAAGGAGACTTGGTTATCAAGAGACTGAAAAGAATAGGGGTCCTTCGAAAAAGAGTGGCCGGTTCCCACCAGCTCTAAGGAGCAAAGGCCACTTCTGGCTGGGAAATGAGAGGCAGCTTCTTGGAGGCAGATGCATCTTTTATTTTGTTTTGTTGTTAATCCTCAACCGAGGATATTTTCCCATTGATTTTTAGAGAGAGTGGAAGGGAGGTGGAGAGACACAGAGAGAGAGAAACATCTCTGTGAGAGACATATCCGTTGGTTGCCTCCTGCACATTCCCCCGCCAGGGCCGGGGATGGAGCCTGCAACCCTGGTACATGCCCGGGACCCTTCAATACGCGGGCAACGCTCTATCCACAGAGCCAAACCGGCTAGGGGGCAAGGCAGAGGCATCTTAGTTGAATCCTGGGACATGAAAAGGATTAAGATTTGTGGAAGGGCAGAGGAGGGCATTCTGAGAAGGTAATCGTAGGAGGCAAAACCTGGGTGTAAGGGTGAAAATTTAACTATTGTAAGTTTACTAAAGCGTGAGTTCCAAGAACCGGGCTGGGCGCGGTGATCCTTAAAGTGCAGGAGAAGGGCGCCCCCGCGCTGCCATGCCCTCCACCAGGATCCTACCACTGGGCAACCCAGTCACTAGGCGATTGCCAGGCAGCCAGTGGCCCAGGATCCACCTCACTGCTTCCTCTATTCCCCAGATCAGCCCAGAGGAGGAGGAGCGCCGTCGGGTGAGGCGCGAGCGGAACAAGCTGGCCGCGGCAAAGTGCAGGAACCGGAGGAAGGAACTGACCGATTTCCTGCAGGCGGTGAGCATCGGCCGGTGCGGAGGGCGCCCAGGCCCCGGCCCACCAAACCTTCGGAGGGCCTCGCCTCCTGTGAGCCTGTAGGGCCCAGGGGGCGCTGGAGAGACAGGCCTTCGGAGAAAAGGACCAGGAAAAAGTACCGAGCACTGCACAGCCGAGCTGAAGCTCAGGCAGACAGTCTCCTAAGATGCCCCGGGGACCTGATTGGAGTCCGGCACATTTTTCTCCCAAGGGCTCATGGGAATTGTAGTCCAGACTTGCTGAGGACTCCTCACCCTACCTCCAATTTCCTAAATCACCACCACCACCACGGAAGGCGACGCGGTATTCGGCCCTCATCTTCCTGACTCCTCTCCTGACCTTCTCCCTACAGGAGACCGACAAGCTGGAGGACGAGAAATCAGGACTGCAGCGAGAGATTGAGGAGCTGCAGAAGCAGAAGGAGCGGCTGGAGCTGGTGCTCGAAGCCCACCGCCCCATCTGCAAAATCCCGGAAGGAGCCAAGGAGAGCGACACTGGTGGCCCAGGCGGTGCCAGCAGCCCACCAGCCCCCTCCCGCCCTGTGCCTTGTATCTCCCTCTCCCCAGGGCCTGTGCTTGAACCCGAAGCATTGCACACCCCCACGCTCATGACCACACCTTCTCTGACTCCTTTCACACCCAGTCTGGTTTTCACCTACCCCAGTACGCCTGAGCCCTGTGCCTCAGCCCATCGCAGGAGCAGCAGCAGCAGTGGGGACCCATCCTCTGATCCCCTAGGCTCCCCCACCCTCTTGGCCTTATGAGGCACTCTGGCCCATATCTCCCCATCCATTGGTCCAGCTGGCCTGGGCTATATCCCATGCTCAACCCCAGCAGGTTCTCCATCCCTCCAGATGAGACAGCCTATTTTGCTTCCTGGCAGAGCCAGCTTGGGGCCACCAAAGCAGCTCAGTTTCTCTAGGGCTCGCCTCTCTAGCACAATTTGCATTAAATCAGAGACGAACTATTTCCCATTTGTGCAAGAGAACTCCTGGCAGCCCCAAAGGACTTTATAGACCTCGAGAGGTTTTCTGGAGCCCTAACCCCCTCCAGGCCTTCCCTAAGTCTTCATTACCCTCTTCCTGTGATCCACCCAACCTTACCCCCCCGACAGAAGGTGATATGATATCAGCCTAGAACACTAACTCACCCAGCCCCACTGCCAGCAGCACCCGGTGATTGAACCAGGGCATTCTGCCGTCCCCTCCAGAAATGGCACAGTTCAAGAGAGTGCTAGAGACTTCTGTGATGAGCTGAGCTGCAGCCCCTGGCTCTGAGAAGACTTTAGCTCCAGGGAATCTAAGCCTCCACTGCAAGGGCAGCTGCTATTTATTTTCCTAAAGAGAGTATTTTTATACAAACCTGCCAAAATGGAATAAAAGGCTTGAAGCTCTGGCCTGGTTTCATTGGATTCAGAGGCTAAAGGGAAACCATTTGGATCCTCAAAACATTTGGCTCAGGTCTCAGCTCCACAGACTCACTGCATGACCTTGGACAAATTATTTGAGATTTCTGGACCTCCATTGTGTCTTATCTGACGAATGAAGCTACATCTGCTCTGCCTCATCTCCAGGATTGAGAAAACGAGTGCTGTGGGATGCAAGCCAAGAGGATTACCATCCTCCTCGGGGTGGAGGCCCACCTTGCTCCTGGGTGTACCACAGGAGGGCGCTGTTATGCCCTTCCAGCCAGAGAGGAGGCGGCTGAGTGGGTTCTAGGCCCCCAACACCTGCTTCCTGCCCCATTGTCTTGGGCAGGAAGGAGCCGGGAAGGGAGCTGGAGCCACTTCAGCGGCCGGATCACGGCTGGTCCCGGAGCTTGCCGGCGGACGCGTAGGGGGTGGGGGGTGGTAGCCAGCGGCTTTCCACGGTCTCACACCGCTCCTGACTGGAGGTAATGAGGGGATCTCAGACACCTTAGTTCTGCAGCCCCTCCGGATAGGAACCATGCCCCGTCTCAGCGTCCCCGCCCTTGTCCTAACCCCGGCGAGTCCCAAACAGACGCTGCCATGGACTCTGCTTCCGTCCCGGTTTATTAGCCCCCACCCAGCCCCCTGCAAGTCCCTCCGCTCCAGCCGCCAGTCCCCCCGTTGCCCAGCCAGCGAGAGCGAAGGGCGCTCCTCAGTGCCAGGATGTCTAAGTCCATGCCAGCGGCCCTTCGCGTGCAGCCGGGGCGGCTTCCAGGTCCCGAGGTCCATCGCAATCCAGGCGCTTGGGGAGCCATCCGGGCGGGCGTCGGCGCGAAGGAAGCGATGCTCTCAGTCATCTGGGGAGCAAGCCAGGGGCAACTGATCAGGGCTGCCCACGCTGCCGGTGCTGGAGCTTCCATCGCCCAGGTCCCGGGGTCCGCAGGGGGGCAAAGCCGAGCTCCGGTGTCGGACCAAGCACCCTGAGCCCCCCGCGCCACCAGGGCCCGCCGCGGGGGCCCCACTCCTCGCCCAGCGCCAGGCAGAGCTCCTTAAGCGCTAGATTCTCCCGCAGTAGCTCTTCCTGGCGGCCCTCAAGCTCGGCCAGCTTCTGCCAACAACCGCCCAGGTCCTCGCGCACCGCCCGGGATGCTTGGGTCCCGAAGAGCTGCCACTGGCGCGCGGCGCGCCGCCCGCGCTGGCGCTCCGAGTCCAGAAAGCAGCAGAGGTCGCGCAGCTCGCGGTTCTCGGCCTGTAGGCGCCGGTTGAGCTGCTTGAGCTCGCGGATCTCGCCTAGGTGACCCTGCAGCTGTCGATTCACCTCCTGCATGAGGCGGCCGCGCTGCACCAGAGCCGCCAAGCGCGCCGCCTCCTCCCGCCGCAGGCGCCGCACCAGCTCCTCCTTGCCCAGAGCCGCCATCTCCTCGTCGGTCAGCTCCTCCAGGCCGCCTGCCTCGGCCTCCATGGCTGCTCAGGTCTCTGGAGCATCGCCTGCCCGCCGCCGCGGTCCAGGTGCCCCACGTCGAGCCCCGCGCGACTGGGGCTCAGGATCCGGCGTCGCCGGCAGCGGGCTGTGGCAGGCTAGCGTAGGCTGCAGCCGCCGCACGGGGGTGGGCACGCGGCAGGGCGCGCGCCGGGGCGGATCGCCTGACGTGAAGGAAGGACAGCCAATCCGGAGTCGCCTCCCTGGAGAGGGGCGGGGCCTGAGCTCCGAGAGCCCCCTTCCCGGCCCGCCCATTCCCGACCGAGGCGTCCCTGACCGTCGGGGATACTGGGTCCCTGCACCCGCTCTGTCAACCCGAAACTAGGCGCTTCGTGCGTCCCAGTTCCAAACTGCCTCAGGTGCGAGCCTAGGCCTCTGGGCTCCTTCTGAGAACCAAGACTGCCCTGGAATTGACCCCCCCCCCCCCCCACACACACACACAGCCGGGACGATCTTTCCATCCTTCCCAGGGGTGGGGTGCCGGGGGAGAGGGGGTGGGGGACACATACAAGGGATTCTTTTGTTCAATAAGCCTTAATTGTGTGTAAAACTCATGCAGAATAAACTTGATCAAGGGTCTTTAAAGAAGCCTTAATCTGACAGGGGAGACAAGTTGTTTAAACAAGAAGCAAATGGAGGAGGGATACAGTCTGAGGGACGCCCCCCACCCGGGAAAAGGTTTCCCGAAAGAGACCATATCTGAAGGTCCCGGAAAAATGCATAGGGCTTTGTCAAGTAATGAGAGAGGAAATAACATGGTGAACGATGCTGGGGCCTGCAAGGGCCTAGCTGCTTTCGGAACAGTGAGAGTAGCTTGATTTCTTTTTGAAAGGCAGGTGCATGGAGAAAGTGCTAAGAGAGGGAGACAGGGAGGAAACAAAGGTGGTCGGAAGCCAGATCCTAAGGGCTTTCACTACTAGACTGGCACAGGCCAGTAAGGATTTTAATCAGGGGAATAATATTTTAAAGTATCTATTTTGAAAACGATTGATCAAGCCCTAACTGGTTTGGCTCAGTGGATAGAGCGTCGGCCTGCGGACTGAAGGGTCCCAGGTTCGATTCCAGTCAAGGGCATGTACCTTGGTTGCGGGCACATCCCCAGTGGGAGATGTGCAGGAGGCAGCTGGTCGAGTTTCTCTCTCATCGATGTTTCTAACTCTCTATCTCTCTTCCTTCCTCTCCGTAAAAAATCAATAAAATATATTTTTAAAAATACTTAAAAACAAAACAAAAAAACAACAACGATGTTCTAGCCCTAACTGGTTTGGCTCACTGGATAGAGCGTCAGCCTTCGGACTGAAGGGTCCCAGGTTCGATTCCGGTCAAGGGCATGTACCTTGGTTGGGGGCACATCCTCAGTAGGGGATGTGCAGGAGGCAGCTGAATTGATGTGTCTCTCTCATCAATGTTTCTAACTCTCTATCCCTCTCCCTTTCTCTCTGTCAAAAAATCAATAAAATATATTAAAAAACAAACAAAAACGATTGTTCAGGCTGCTCTGTGTGAGATGGACGAAGGGGAGGGGATGTAGGCAGGGAGATTAGTAAGAACACTGTGTCAATGGGCAAGGAGAATTTTGCAGAAGGACTGGGCTGGGGCCGTGCCAGTGAGGGTGGAGAGAACAAAAGAGATAATAGAAATATTTAGGAGGCAAGTCAGCAAACTGAATGTGGAGAGGAGTCTGAGAGAAAGCCCAGGTTTCTGATATGGTGGATGTCGGGGCTGTCACAAATAGAACATAGGAGATAAACACAGGGGAGACTGACAGGCCTATCTAGCTGGGGCAGTGGGGGGGCGGGGCTGTGGGGAGAGAGTTTGGAAAGACTCATAGATAGGCTGCCCTCCTGATGTGGACTTCCAGGCAGAGCTCTGAGCTGCAGAGTAAAAGGCCAGTAGTTAGTGGCCGGGCAGGGGGATGGGAGGGGTGTAGCCCTGGCCGGTAGCTCAGTTGGTTAGAGCATTGTCCCTAAAACACCAAGGCCGCCGTTGGATCTCCGGTCAGAGCACATACAAGACGCAACCAATGAGTGCATGAATAAGTGGAACAACGCATCGACATTTCTTTCTCTAAAATCAATACATTCAACAAACAGGCACAAACGTGGGAGCAAGTGTAGCATCTCAGGAGAGATGCTTAGCGGCAGGAAGAACGGAAGGGCTCCCAGCAAAAGGCTTTGGAAGTCGGCTACACACCTTCATTCGCAGAAAAAAAAATTAGGATTGAGCCCTGGGAAACTCCCACATTTAGGATACAAGCCAGTAAGGATTTGAAAAGAGCTGAGAAAGCGGGGTGATGGGGCAGAGGAAGTGACGGCGAAGGGTTCCAGGGTCGGGGAGACGGGCCGGGCCGGGGTAGGGGTAGCGGTGGGGACCGGGAAGACCGGGACTCCCCGTCCTGCGGAGAGGTGGGGCCGCCCCACCACTTCCGCCTCTTCCCTCGCCGCTCCTGCCCCACCCTCTCTGTCCCGGAAGTGGTCCGACTGTGGCTCCGGGTGCGGGGAGCGGAATTTCGGCGCTCCCGGAAGTGGCCCGTCGGCGGCGCGCCCGCCGGGGCAATACTCGCTCCTGCTGGGGCGCGGCGGCTGCTCCCGGGTCCGGGCGTCGCCATGACCAACGAGCTGGATATCTTCGTAGGGAACACGACCCTCATCGACGAGGACGTGTATCGCCTCTGGCTGGATGGTTACTCGGGTCTGTGAGGGGCCGAGCGGTTGTTTGGCTGGGCGAAGGGGCGGAGCCTGCACTTGGCGGTCTTTAAGCGGGCGGAGGAGGGAGGGAGGTTTGCAGGTCGGAGCTGGAATCCCTGCAGGGGCTTTGCGGTAGGGGCAGGGCCTGATGCCGGTGCCTGCTCCCCAGTGAACGATGCGGTGGCCCTGAGGGTGCGCTCGGGAATCCTGGAGCAGACGGGCGCCACGGCAGCAGTCCTGCAGAGTGACACCATGGATCACTATCGGACCTTCCACATGCTGGAGCGCCTGCTGCACGCACCGCCCAAGCTGCTGCACCAGCTCATCTTCCAGATCCCGCCCTCCCGACAAGCGCTGCTCATTGAGAGGTGGGGATGCCAGCCACTCTGGCCATGTACCCATTTTGCAGACTGAAACGGAGGCCCAGGAAGGGACGGGACTCACCCGGGCCCTGAAGAAGTGGAGAGCACAAGGGGCCAAGCCCAGGCTCTGCCAGCCCCCCTTTCCCCCTCCTGTAGGGGAAGTCAGTAGTGTCCTCTGCCTCCACGCAGGTACTATGCCTTTGATGAGGCCTTTGTGCGCGAGGTCCTGGGCAAGAAGCTGTCCAAGGGCACCAAGAAAGACCTGGATGACATCAGCACCAAAACTGGCATTACCCTTAAAAGCTGCCGAAGACAGGTGGGCACTGCACCCTCCTCACCAACACAACATTACATATACAGTCCACCCCTGTGGCCACTACCCCAACTCCAACCTCCTCCTCCACTTCTGATTGTGGCAGCAGCTTCAGACCCAGTCTCCTCTCCTCTGTTTTTGTCATCTCAAAGCAATCCCCTGCTCTTCAGCCAGAGTGACCTTTCAGAATCCCAGATCTGACCATAGCTTTCTTCGGCCCATAAACTTTCACTGGCTCCTACTCCCTTCTGGGTAGTAGCCACACGCTTTGGCCTTGCCCTTCATACTCTCCTGTGAGCTGGTCCCTGCCAGCCTCCCTAGGCTTGCATTTCCCCAGAGTCCAGCTTTCTTTTGCTCGTGCCGCTCCTGCCTGGAGGCTACAGTTCTTGGCCATGTCTACTTGAAATCCAAGGCAGCGTCAGATGCCACCTTCTTCACAAGCTTCCTGGTGGTGCCAAGGAGAAGTAACTCTTCTTCTGGAACTTTAGTATCTTTTCTCTGCGTCTCCTGTGAACTCCCTGTATACAGCTTAGCATTTGCTCATTTTTTACTTTCTGAGCCTTAGGAGGGTCAGTTCCAGCACCAGCTGGAGAAGAACTGCAGAGCGTGGTGCTAAAAAGTAGGAGTGAATTCAGTGGTAGGAGTTGAGTAAATGTTTATCTGAGATGGCAAAAGCTAATAGACATTTGTTGAATTGATAACTTACTGAAGGAATAACAGATCAGCATCTGTTGACAGAATAGATAGATAGGTGAGGGATGGTGTTCAGTAAACAATTTATTGGGTGAGCGACCTCTGACCAGTCCTTGCTCCCCTACCTTCCCTGCAGTTCGACAACTTTAAACGAGTCTTCAAGGTGGTGGAGGAAATGCGGGGCTCCCTGGTCGATAACATCCAGCAGCACTTCCTTCTCTCTGATCGGCTGGCCAGGTGAGCGACCGGGCGAGGAGCCATCTATCTCCCCCATCGGCACAGTCCTTCCCTGGGCCCCTCCCCATCCCCCCAACCCACTTGACCTCTTGGCTGTGTGGGGGGATGGTTATCTCATTCCTGGTCTGTAAATTGGATCAGACTGGCCTGGGTTCAAATCCCAACCTGGCCATTCACCAATTGGACTGTGGAGGTGTCACCTGTAAAGCGTGTGGCACAGCTCCGGAGCTCGGGAAGTGCTCAGTAAATGGTAACTGTTACCTCTGTGGTCTCCTGCTACATCCCTTAGGAGACCTGGTTTGAAACCTTTTCACAGATGAGGAGGCCCAGAGAGAGGTGACCTGAAACATGTCACACAGTGAGTTAGGGCGAGAGAGGCCAGAGCTCAGATGCCTAGTAGATGTTGCAGGTTGGAGCTGCTTGCTCAGAAAGAATGCCCAGCTTTGACAGGTCTCCTTTCCCCTCCCTGCAGAGACTATGCAGCCATCGTCTTTTTTGCCAACAACCGCTTTGAGACAGGGAAGAAAAAACTGCAGTATCTGAGCTTTGGCGACTTTGCTTTCTGTGCTGAGCTCATGATCCAGAACTGGACCCTTGGAGCCGTCGGTGAGGCCCCCACTGACCCAGGTGCCTGGACACCTCCCCACCCTCTCAGGGCCTGCTACCCCACCAGCACTTTCTCCTGCAGGCCCCTAGTTCCCAGCATCCTTTCTTCTTCAGGGCCCCTCCCCAGCCATCTCTGCTCAGAGTCCAGTGTCCCCATACACACCTTGTCTGCAGACAAGGGGCCCACTACTTCTCTGTGGTCCGGGGCAAAGCATTCCACCTCCCTGACACTCTGTTTTCTCTTCTGTCTTATGGGGGTGCGATGTGGTGGGTGAGGAAGGCTTGGGTTATCACAGGAAGGCATTTTGACATGCCCCCCCCCCCCAACTCCCTTCCT